TCGCAGCAAGTCCAGTGTACCGAACTATGGTAGCCAACGAGGTCGGGACAGAAGAGGGAGGGCAACGATCCAAGAAATAGCTGACCAGGCCGGTGGGAAGGTCGAGTCGGCTGGGCGGCGGAAGTCGACCAACGAGGTCGGACAGAAGAGGGAGGGCAAACGATCCAAGAAATAGCTGACCAGGCCGGTGGGAAGGTCGAGTCGGCTGGGCGGCGGAAGTCGACCGAGAGGCAACCGCGGAGGATACGCGGCTGCAAGGCTCGCAGCAAGTCCAGTGTACCGGACTATGGTGGCCAACGAGGTCGGACAAAAGAGGAAGGGCAAACGATCCAAGAAATAGCTGACCAGGCCGGTGGGAAGGTCGAGTCGGCTGGGCGGCGGCAGTCGACCGAGAGCAACCGAGGAGTGGATTCGGTCGGAAGGCTTCGCAGCAAATCAAGTGTAACGGACTTAATTGCCAGCGAAATGGGTAAAAAGAGGGAGGGTACGAGTCATGATAATGAGTGGACCAAGCTCTAGGGGAAGGGTGGCAAAAAGCAAAGGGAGGGAAGTGCTCCCAGCGAAGGAAAGACTGAATCAAATAACTACACCACGAGGTCGCTTCAGGGGTAAAAAGGATTGCCTGCAAGGCACCGGTAAAAACCCCGAAGCCGGGCCTCGGATAACAAAAAGGAAAAGAAACCAAAAGGCAGATCACGCTCCGGGCGGATCGAACCCTCGACCACTGAGTGCGCGCCCGCGCGCCCTCACGACTACACCATCGCGCCGACAATGCTTGCAACGAACAAACCGGTAGCTGATGTCGACTCCGGCCGCAAACTTGGGAGACTTCCTTCGAGTATTGATGGCAGTGCAGGCTGTGCTCCTGACACTTCACCATCGAGGACCGATCCACGGTACCAGCGGGTGCGACCATCGTCACATCCAAGTTCGTCTGGAAAACGAAACGGAATGCACTCGGCGAAGTCACCGGCCACAAGGCACGGCTCGTGGCGCAGGGAAATCGGCAACGCGACGGCATCGACTTCAACGAAACCTTCGCACCAGTCGCACGCTTCTCCTCGATACGCTCACTCCTCGCGCTGGCGGCCGCCAACGGCTTGCACGTGCACCAGGCGGACATCGACAAAGCCTATCTGCATGGCGACCTTGACCATGACATCTGGATGACGACACCGCGCGGCTTCGACCTTCCCACCGACAAGGTGCTTCGTCTGCGACGCTCCATCTACGGACTCAAACAGGCTGGCCGAATCTGGAATCGACACATCGACGCATCGCTTCGAGATCTCGGCTATACGGCGACGGGCACCGACCACTGCGTGTACTCTCGGATCGACGATCGGCGACGCCCACACTACATCGCGCTGTACGTCGACGACCTCCTGATGATCAGCCCCGACTTGGCCGAAATTGAACGTGTCATCTCGGGCCTCGAACAACGCTACGGCGTCAAGCGCCTCGGCCCGGCAGAGTACATCCTCGGCATCCAGATCAGGCGACTCGAAGACGGTTCTATTGCCCTGTCCCAGGAACGGTACATCATGGACGTGCTTGCTCGGTTCCACTTCGACACCACGACTCGCGGCACTACAGTCCCGATGACCCCCGGCCTTTCGCTCACCGCCATCCCGGGTCAAGGCACCGAACGGATCAGGTCATGGTATCTGCAGGCTATCGGCTCGCTCCTCTACATTTCGCTCGGCACCCGCCCCGACATCGCCTTCGCCGTGTCCTACCTGGCCCGCTTCGCCAACAACCCTGGACGTCGTCACTGGATCGCGGTCAAGCACATCCTCCGCTATCTCCGGGCCACATATCGCGACGAACTGGTTTATGCTTGCGGCGAGACACGCATCACGGGCGTGGTTGGCTACTCCGACGCGAACTGGGGGGCCTGCGTCGATACGTCGGTGTCCACTATGGGCTACGTCTTCTACATTGCCGGATCCGCCGTGTCTTGGTCGTCCAAGCGTCAATCTCGAGTTGCCGATTCTACCACCGACGCTGAATACCTCGCCCTCTCGCATGCTGGCAAGGAAGGGATCTACCTCAGTCAGCTGCTCGAGGAGCTCCATGTCCAACCTGTTGCACCGGCTCACATTTTTACTGACAATGAAGCCGCTGCCGCAGTTGCCCACGACCCTGTCCGCGTCTCCGGCACTCGACACATACGCTTGCGCGAGCACTTTGTTCGGGACATGGTGAATCGGGGCGATATCTCACTCTCGCATGTGGGAACCAGCAACATGGTGGCTGACATCTTCACAAAGGCTCTTGGCCCAAAGATTTTCTCGACACACTGCTACGCACTAGGCCTTCGCACTCGACACCCACGGCTTGGATCTGCCTCGCATTCGCGTGGGGGGGGTGTGAAGAGTCCACTCTCAGCTCGACAGGGGCGCCTCGGTCGTTGCGCGCGCCTGCTAGCCTGGCCCCTGTGGTGGGGACTTAGGCGCGCGCGAGTGCCTCAGCGCGCCGGCGCCGGCGGTTTTCGGGCGCGCGCCGCTAGCCCGCCCTTGCAGTGGGGACTTAGCCGCGCGCGACTGCCTCAGCGCTCCAGCGATTTCGCCCGCGCCTGGGCATATCCCAGCGCGGGCCACCTTTCCATTTCTTAGCTTCCTTCTCATCACTTCTGTTCGACTCTCGACTTCTCCTGACAGTAGTGGTGATCATCTCATAGGTACGCTGAAATACATCACTTCTGTTCGACTCTCGACTTCTCCTGACAGTAGTGGTGATCATCTCATAGGTCCATCGGTAGCGAATCTACGAACACATCAGAAAATTTCTCGAGTAAGGCAGCCAATCGTGTTCGTGCTTCGGACTCAGAGAAATCGTCGAGCGCCGGATCGTCGACGACATCAAGCAGCGGGTTGTGTGGCTCGAGGCCGATGATCTCGTCGTCGGGGAGCAACCCAGGGTGATTGCAGCCAATGGCAGAACCAGATAAGATAGGTGCTATGGTGACGGCTCGGTCCCATTCGTGCGTATCCTGGGCGACGGGTTGCGAAGGGCCGGTGCGCGCGACGGTGAAGGCGCCCCAACCAACGAGCATGCCTGTGTCCTTAAGAAATGGCAGCCCCAAGATGGCGTCGTACGCCGTTACCCGGCAAACGAAGAATGGTCGCAAACCGAGATCTAGGGCACCAGACGAAAAAGGAGCGGTGGCGAACACAGCACATCGGTCGGACTTATCCTGGGTGCCGAGGCGCAAATGCAACGGCGCAGTCAAACGGGCCGTTGCGAAGCTCGGGTCGACTCGCACCACCTCCTGATCCACCAAGTCAGTGTCAGGAGCACAGCCTGCACTGCCATCAATACTCGAAGGAAGTCTCCCAAGTTTGCGGCCGGAGTCGACATCAGCTACCGGTTTGTTCGTTGCAAGCATTGTCGGCGCGATGGTGTAGTCGTGAGGGCGCGCGGGCGCGCACTCAGTGGTCGAGGGTTCGATCCGCCCGGAGCGTGATCTGCCTTTTGGTTTCTTTTCCTTTTTGTTATCCGAGGCCCGGCTTCGGGGTTTTTACCGGTGCCTTGCAGGCAATCCTTTTTACCCCTGAAGCGACCTCGTGGTGTAGTTATTTGATTCAGTCTTTCCTTCGCTCGGAGCACTTCCCTCCTTTTGCTTTTGCCACCCTTCCCCTAGAGCTTGGTCCACTCATTATCATGACTCGTACCCTCCCTCTTTTTACCCATTTCGCTGGCAATTAAGTCCGTTACACTTGATTTGCTGCGAAGCCTTCCGACCGAATCCACTCCTCGGTTGCTCTCGGTCGACTGCCGCCGCCCAGCCGACTCGACCTTCCCATCGGCCTGGTCAGCTATTTCTTGGATCGTTTGCCCTTCCTCTTTGTCCGACCTCGTTGGCCACCATAGTCCGGTACACTGGACTTGCTGCGAGCCTTGCAGCCGCGTATCCTCCGCGGTTGCCTCTCGGTCGACTTCCGCCGCCCAGCCGACTCGACCTTCCCACCGGCCTGGGTCAGCTATTTCTTGGATCGTTTGCCCTCCCTCTTCTGTCCGACCTCGTTGGCTACCATAGTTCGGTACACTGGACTTGCTGCGAGCCTTGCAGCCGCGTATCCTCCGCGGTTGCCTCTCGGTCGACTGCCGCCGCCTCGGTCGACACCCCCTTCGCTCCTTCGCGCTTTCGCGCGCTCTCTCGCTCTCTCCCGTCTCTCGCGTGTAGTCCATCGTCATCCCCTCCGACGTTGCCTGTCAGTCGACCTCTGATCCCGAGTCGATCAAACATCGCAAAACCCTTCCAGAAGGTAGCGTCCACGCGATGACGTTGCGGGCGCGTACAATGGCGGGCTCGACAGGTTGGTCGGGTTGTCGATGTCGATCAGGGGCACAGCGGACGCCAAGAGAGACACACCCGACGGCACAAGAATCTGGAAAGAGCTCACCGAAGCAGTCCTTTCCGCCTTGCGAGACGACACCACTTTCCGGCCCCGGATAATGACACAAGCGCGACGCGGCATCAGCGTAGTACAAGACATCTTCCACCGCGTCAATCGCGATGTCAGCCAGGCTATCGTCGAGACGATGTTGATCTGCATCATTTGCCGGCACGGTTGGATGCGAACTACTTGGATGAGGTCTGAACTTCAAAAGAAGAAGAGGCGACGTCTTTCACTCGACCAACAGGGTCTGCCGGAGGGCAAGAGTGGTGCGTCACTAAGGCGGATGCGGAACTCGACGGTCGAGTCAAATCAGTCTCGAGGGGAAGGGGGAATCGCACCTGGGGTCCTCAACGTCACCTGAGGCCGACGACCATTCGTCCTCGTCCATGTCGGCGAAGGCAATTGCTGCTATTTGGACGGTCGAGGGGGATTGTCGCTCCGCTGTACAATGCTGTGAGAAATGGCCACCTTGACCGCAATTAAAACACGCCATGCTGGCGGGTACCCCACCCGAATGCTGGCGAGAACCACGTGTTCCGATCCTTCCACAGGTGGGCCTGTTGCCATTTACCGGCGCGGGTTCATCCATCGAGCTCGACGGATCTGAGTACGTGCGTCGTCGTTCGCGTGGATGGGGCGGTGCGTGGCGTTTTTGCAATTGCTCCATAAGTCGCCGTACGAATCGGCGGGGGTCGAAACTGATGTCGTGCCGGTGTCGTCGGCGATGGCGGCCCAGTCGGTAACCTCCTCGAGGGACGGGACCAGTTCGTCCGAACCTCCCTATAGTCACGAGTGAGTTATCCCGATATTCCCGCAGCATACCAGCCCGCACTTCCCGCTTAGCCACATCACTCAACGATTGATAAAAAGGTTGTGGCGAGTTGAAGGGGCGAGAGGCTGAAGCTGGGGTCGTTGTGCATAAACGCTCGGTAGCGGCACGCCATTCGCCCACATGGTCGTAGGCGCGAGACGAAGACTGTCGGCACCCGTAGAAGTCGTGGGACACTCGGTTCGGCAAAGCCAGGATCCGGCCAACGACGTCCAACTTCTGTCATCAGTGTCGTCCAACAGTGAGGTCGTTCGTCCCGGAGCGCGTCCGTCATAGTATCAACGGCCCAGTCGTGCGGAGACTGACGGCGCTTGGGAGAAGTTGAACGAACGAACAAGGTCGCCACAAGCTGGATGACGCGGTCGGTGGTAAAAAGGTCGCTGGTGGAAATGTCGCAAAGTAGAGACAAGTACGACTTCCCAAATGTAGTGAAAGTGACCAACCGATCGGGATTATCCCCTGTCCATAGCCCTTCCCGGTCAGGTAACGTCCCTCTCCAACGAGAGCTGATTACTGCCGAGGAAGGGCCGTCCCTTCGTGCGCTGTGAGATTCCCCCCAGGGGAACGAACAAGGGGGTCAGCGGTATTGCCTGAACGTTCCAGAATGGTGTGTGGGGGAACGTCCAAGGGGACCGATCTCACCGGCGTAAACGAAACTCCCCAGCCCGCGCTGCGGCTGGTTCAGAGAATCCAGCCCGCGCCACAGCTGGTTCAGAGACTCCGGCCCGCGCCGCAGCTGGTTCAGGTTGAGCTTTTCAATAAACCCTCCACCAACTTCTCCAATTGCTGAACACGTTCCTCGGAGTCGATACGACGGGCTTCGGATTCCTCGAGGCGGCTTTCGAGGACGATAGAGCGGTGGCGGTGTGTAGGGTTGAGGGCGGCGGGACTTGGGCGGTTTCGCGCGGCCGGGGTCTTCGTCGCGGAGAGGAGCGTCTCGATCATCGGCGGCGGCACGGTACACGTCGCGCTCGTCGGCCATGGCAATCTCGTGACTCAAACGTCGGCGATTGCGGGGCGAACGAAGGCGAGCACGAGACGGTTGACGGAAAGGGTAGGAAGGATATATGAGATGATCACCACTACTGTCAGGAGAAGTCGAGAGTCGAACAGAAGTGATCAGAAGGAAGCTAAGAAATGGAAAGGGGGCCCGCGCTGGGATATGCCCAGGCGCGGGCGAAATCGCTGGAGCGCTGAGGCAGTCTCGCGCGGCTAAGTCCCCACTGCAAGGGCGGGCTAGCGGCGCGCGCCCGAAAACCGCCGGCGCCGGCGCGCTGAGGCACTCGCGCGCGCCTAAGTCCCCACCACAGGGGCCAGGCTAGCAGGCGCGCGCAACGACCGAGGCGCCCCTGTCGAGCTGAGAGTGGACTCTTCACACCCCCCCCCACGCGAATGCGAGGCAGAATCCAAGCCGTGTGTCAGGAGCACAGCCTGCACTGCCATCAATACTCGAAGGAAGTCTCCCAAGTTTGCGGGCCGGAGTCGACATCAGCTACCGGTTTTGTTCGTTGCAAGCATTGTCGGCGCGATGGTGTAGTCGTGAGGGCGCGCCGGGCGCGCACTCAGTGGTCGAGGGTTCGATCCGCCCGGAGCGTGATCTGCCTTTGGTTTCTTTTCCTTTTTGTTATCCGAGGCCCGGCTTCGGGGTTTTACCGGTGCCTTGCAGGCAATCCTTTTTACCCCTGAAGCGACCTCGTGGTGTAGTTATTTGATTCAGTCTTTCCTTCGCTGGGAGCACTTCCCTCCCTTTGCTTTTGCCACCTTCCCCTAGAGCTTGGTCCACTCATTATCATGACTCGTACCCTCCCTCTTTTTACCCATTTCGCTGGCAATTAAGTCCGTTAACATTGATTTGCTGCGAAGCCTTCCGACCGAATCCACTCCTCGGTTGCTCTCCGGTCGACTGCCGCCGCCCAGCCGACTCGACCTTCCCATCGGCCTGGTCAGCTATTTCTTGGATCGTTTGCCCTTCCTCTTTTGTCCGACCTCGTTGGCCACCATAGCCGGTACACTGGACTTGCTGCGAGCCTTGCAGCCGCGTATCCTCCGCGGTTGCCTCTCGGTCGACTTCCGCCGCCCAGCCGACTCGACCTTTCCCACCGGCCTGGTCAGCTATTTCTTGGATCGTTTGCCCCCTCTTCTGTCCGACCTCGTTGGTACCATAGTTCGGTACACTGGACTTGCTGCGAGCCTTGCAGCCGCGTATCCTCCGCGGTTGCCTCTCGGTCGACTGCCGCCGCCTCGGTCGCACCCCTTTCGCTCCTTCGCGCTTTCGCGCGCCTCTCTCGCTCTCTCCCTCGTCTCTCGCGTGTAGTCATCGTCATCCCCTCCGACGTTGCCTGTCACCGTGGGTGTCGAGTGCGAAGGCCTAGTGCGTAGCAGTGTGTCGAGAAAATCTTTGGGCCAAGAGCCTTTGTGAAGATGTCGGCCACATGTTGCTGGTTCCCACATGCGAGAGTGAGATATCGCCCCGATTCACCATGTCCCGAACAAAGTGCTCGCGCAAGCGTAATGTGTCGAGTGCCGGAGACGCGGACAGGGTCGTGGGCAACTGCGGCAGCGGCTTCATTGTCAGTAAAAATGTGAGCCGGTGCAAAGGTTGGACATGGAGCTCCTCGAGCAGCTGACTGAGGTAGATCCCTTCCTTGCCAGCATGCGAGAGGGCGAGGTATTCAGCGTCGGTGGTAGAATCGGCAACTCGAGATTGACGCTTGGACGACCAAGACACGGCGGATCCGGCAATGTAGAAGACGTAGCCCATAGTGGACACCGACGTATCGACGCAGGCCCCCCAGTTCGCGTCGGAGTAGCCAACCACGCCCGTGATGCGTGTCTCGCCGCAAGCATAAACCAGTTCGTCGCGATATGTGGCCCGGAGATAGCGGAGGATGTGCTTGACCGCGATCCAGTGACGACGTCCAGGGTTGTTGGCGAAGCGGGCCAGGTAGGACACGGCGAAGGCGATGTCGGGGCGGGTGCCGAGCGAAATGTAGAGGAGCGAGCCGATAGCCTGCAGATACCATGTGACAGGCAACGTCGGAGGGGATGACGATGACTACACGCGAGAGACGAGGGAGAGAGCGAGAGAGCGCGCGAAAGCGCGAAGGAGCGAAGGGGGTGTCGACCGAGGCGGCGGCAGTCGACCGAGAGGCAACCGCGGAGGATACGCGGCTGCAAGGCTCGCAGCAAGTCCAGTGTACCGAACTATGGTAGCCAACGAGGTCGGACAGAAGAGGGAGGGCAAACGATCCAAGAAATAGCTGACCAGGCCGGTGGGAAGGTCGAGTCGGCTGGGCGGCGGAAGTCGACCGAGAGGCAACCGCGGAGTGGATTCGGTCGGAAGGCTTCGCAGCAAATCAAGTGTAACGGACTTAATTGCCAGCGAAATGGGTAAAAAGAGGGAGGGTACGAGTCATGATAATGAGTGGACCAAGCTCTAGGGGAAGGGTGGCAAAAGCAAAAGGAGGGAAGTGCTCCGAGCGAAGGAAAGACTGAATCAAATAACTACACCACGAGGTCGCTTCAGGGGTAAAAAGGATTGCCTGCAAGGCACCGGTAAAAACCCCGAAGCCGGGCCTCGGATAACAAAAAGGAAAAGAAACCAAAAGGCAGATCACGCTCCGGGCGGATCGAACCCTCGACCACTGAGTGCGCGCCCGCGCGCCCTCACGACTACACCATCGCGCCGACAATGCTTGCAACGAACAAACCGGTAGCTGATGTCGACTCCGGCCGCAAACTTGGGAGACTTCCTTCGAGTATTGATGGCAGTGCAGGCTGTGCTCCTGACACCATGACCTGATCCGTTCGGTGCCTTGACCCGGGATGGCGGTGAGCGAAAGGCCGGGGGTCATCGGGACTGTAGTGCCGCGAGTCGTGGTGTCGAAGTGGAACCGAGCAAGCACGTCCATGATGTACCGTTCCTGGGACAGGGCAATAGAACCGTCTTCGAGTCGCCTGATCTGGATGCCGAGGATGTACTCTGCCGGGCCGAGGCGCTTGACGCCGTAGCGTTGTTCGAGGCCCGAGATGACACGTTCAATTTCGGCCAAGTCGGGGCTGATCATCAGGAGGTCGTCGACGTACAGCGCGATGTAGTGTGGGCGTCGCCGATCGTCGATCCGAGAGTACACGCAGTGGTCGGTGCCCGTCGCCGTATAGCCGAGATCTCGAAGCGATGCGTCGATGTGTCGATTCCAGATTCGGCCAGCCTGTTTGAGTCCGTAGATGGAGCGTCGCAGACGAAGCACCTTGTCGGTGGGAAGGTCGAAGCCGCGCGGTGTCGTCATCCAGATGTCATGGTCAAGGTCGCCATGCAGATAGGCTTTGTCGATGTCCGCCTGGTGCACGTGCAAGCCGTTGGCGGCCGCCAGCGCGAGGAGTGAGCGTATCGAGGAGAAGCGTGCGACTGGTGCGAAGGTTTCGTTGAAGTCGATGCCGTCGCGTTGCCGATTTCCCTGCGCCACGAGCCGTGCCTTGTGGCCGGTGACTTCGCCGAGTGCATTCCGTTTCGTTTTCCAGACGAACTTGGATGTGACGATGGTCGCACCCGCTGGTACCGTGGATCGGTCCTCGATGGTGAAGACCTTGAAGTCGTCGCGCATGGAATTGAACTCGTCGGTAGCGGCCTTGGCCCACACTTCGCGCTTGTCACCCGACATTGCCTCGCGCCATGTCTGTGGGTCGCTGGTGATGGACTTGACTGGTTGAATGGCTTCTGTGTCAGAGTTGTCGTCGTCGGTGGCGATGAAGGCGCGGTGGTGTTGGGTGAGGAAATCGATTTCGTCCGGCGATTCATCGCGCGAGTGGTGTGAGGAATCTATGAAGGAACAATATACCACTGCACCAAAAGGCGAGGCACCTCTACTTCAGTGAGCGCATATTGTCCTAGAAGTGAGATGGAGCGAAGTTCAACACCCCCCTGTGCGCGAAGCTGAAGAGCTTGTGGCAGTGGGTGCGGCTTGTGAGGCAACTGGGCATGTTGATCAGGTCGCTTGGGCAAGTGCAGCTTGGGCACTGTGAGCACTGTCGATGCGCCAGGGTGCTTGGCACGCCGCTGGGCAAGTGCGGGGGCCGGGACGCTGAGTGTATGCGCGCAAAATTGCCTGACCCCAGGGGGGATTGAACTCATGACCTGCTGGTTGCTCTGGGCTCATAACCTATGAAGGAACAATATACCACTGCACCAAAAGGCGAGGCACCTCTACTTCAGTGAGCGCATATTGTCCTAGAAGTGAGATGGAGCGAAGTTCAACAGAATCCACTCTCCGCTCGGCTCAGGACTTAGGCGCGCGGAGCGAACCGGGCGCGGACTTAGGCGCGCGGAGTGAGCCGGGCGCCCCGGCCCAGGACTTAGGCGCGCGAAGCGAGCCTGGGACTTAGGCGCGCGGAGCGAGCCTGGGCCATTGGCTCAGCCCCAGGCTCGCTGGCTGTGGACTTGGGGCGCGCGGGTCTCTTATTGTTAGCTTCCTATTCATCACTCTTGGCTATAACTACATCGCTGACGTAGTAGAGTTGATCGAATAGGTATGTTGAAATGCATTCATCACTCTTGGCTATAACTACATCGCTGACGTAGTAGAGTTGATCGAATAGGTTATAAGCCCACGAGCTACCAGCCCCGCCGCTTGAGGCTTTTTCGCTCGAGCCCAGCCACTCGAGCCGCACACGTCCATCGCACCATCACATCATGGACAGCTCTCCCGCCTCGCCTTTGGCCCCCAGGGATCCCAGCTCCCCTGAATCTTCGATCGGCGAACAAATCGCCACTCTACAGGCCCAGCTTGCCGCTCTGCAGGCCTCGCAACCCGCCGCCGCCGCAGCCGCCGCACCCCCGGCCGTCACCGTCGTGCCGGGGAACGCCGCCACCGCATCCAAGGTCGTGTTTCCCAAGCACGCTCGTCTGGACGGCCCCAAGTCGTTCACCAACTGGTTGCGTCAACTCCGTCTTGCACTCCCGAACCAGGTTCGTGGTTACGTTCTCGACGGTGTCGTTCCCCCGACCTGGACCGCCGACCAGCTTGCCGCACGTGACGACGCCGCCCGGGAAATCATCGTTGGCTCTATCGACTCCGCCGACGTATCGGCCACCCTCGACGCCATCCCCAGCGACGACCTGTCGGCACCGCGCATCTTTGCCGCTCTCAAGGCTCGTTTTGCACCGGACGACGCTACACGCACTCTCGAGTTGTTCGCTCGCCTTTGGGACTTCAGGAAGATGCCTGCCTCCGTCGAGGCCTACGACACTTGGCTACGCGAGTACATGTCGATTGCTCAGGAAATACGCGACGCCAAAACATCGCTCAACGACGTGCTCGCCACCCACGTGCTCGCCATGGTCCCGTCTTGCCTCGACAGCTTCCGACTCACGTTCACGGACGAGCAGCGAAACCGACGCGACCTTCCCGAACTCACGACGCTTACGGACCGCATTCGCATCCAGCTTCGTTCGGCAGGACTCTCGACCTCGCATTCGGCCATGCTTGCCACCAGCTCCCCCTGCCCCGCCTGCCGCGCTCCCGGTCACCGCCTGCGCGACTGCACTTCACGTGCGAAGCACCCGCCCACCGGCCCCTGCCGCCGATGCCACAAGAAAGGTCACTGGGCACTCGACTGCAAGAACCGGGGTGAACAGGCACGTAGCAGCGACGACACCCAGGACGACACGTCTTCCTCCGCGGCCTCGCAACCGAACGTCGGCTATTTCGCCTCCTGCCTCTTCGCTCGTCGCCAACTCCCAACTGACGCCTTTGTAGTCGATTCGGGTGCCACGACACACATGGTCGCCGACCGATCTCTATTCACGACTTATCGTCAGACGGCACACACCAAGATCGGCGGCATCGCGGGCGGCATCACGGCTATCGGCATGGGGGACGTGGCATTCGTCGCCAAGACTGGACACCCGATCACGCTCCGTGGTGTTCTTCACACGCCTGGCCTACACGTCAACCTCCTCTCTGTCTCTCGCCTCTGCGACACCGACCGCGTTCGTCTCGCCTTCACCAGCGACGGCATCGACATCGCCAAGGACGGCCGGGCCATTGCTCACGGTACCAGGGTCAACGACGGTCTTTACCTTTTGGACGCGGATCACACCAAGTGTCAGCATCTTGCCTTCCTCTCACGCTCTGAGTCTCCCGTGCCCCTGCTTACCCTACACCGCTGCCTCGGCCATCTTGCCCCATCCTCTATACAGAAGATGATTGCTGCAGGTTTGCTGGACGGGTTTGGGGCCGGGTACAGTGACAAAGACGTAGAGGAGTTTGTTTGCAATGCTTGCCTTGGTTCCAAAGGTCACCGCCTTCCCTTTCCCGACTCTGAGTCGCATTCCGCCGAGAGACTTGGCCTCGTGCACAGCGACGTCCTGTCGTTCCCCACTCCGTCCGACCAACGCTAAACGTTTCTAACGGGGGCGATCGAAAACCGATGTTTTCCCGACCTTGACTTGGCTCGCCGAAGTGGAGTTAGAGACGAACGCGCGGTTGAGGATCCTTCGAACCGACAATGGCGGGGAGTACCGATCAAACGCATTCACGGAGTTCTGCAAATCCAAGGGCATTCGTCGTCAATACTCTATCCCTTACACGCCTCAACAAAACGGTCGCGCCGAACGTGTCAACCTCTCCATCGTCGAGGGCGTCCTCGCTCTCCTTGCGGACGCCCGTCTGCCGGCCACCTTTTGGGATGAAGCGGCTGCGTATTTCGTTTATTGCAAAAACAGGTGCTCACACTCAGCTTTGGCCAAACAGACTCCAGAATCCGTTTGGAACGGCCAACGCACCACCGCCACCGCCCTCCACCCGTTCGGCTGCACAGCCTGGCTCACGGTCGCCCCGGACCTTCGCAGCAAGCTCGACCCCAAGGCCGCGCGCGTGATCTTCACAGGTTACGACCTCGCCTCCAAAGCTTTCCGTTTCTTTGACCATTCCATCAACAAGATTGTACTTGGTCGCAATGCCACCTTCCTCGACGACGACTTCCCCGGCCTGCCAGTCACCACGCCCGTCGATGCAGACGACACCGACCGTCAGTTCGTCGTTCCCGCCGACACGCCCGCCCCTGCCGTCAAGACGAGGACCCCACTAGTAAGGTCGGCGCACATGGACGTCTCATCCTCCCTTGATGATTCTGCCATGAGCGCCGTTGACGTGGCCCCAGGGTACACTGGCGGAACCTTACTTAATTCCACAGATACCGAATCGTCCTCGTCACCGTCTCCTGAGCCGTCCTCGTCACCGTCGCCCACAAACCCTTTGTCACCGTCGCCTGCGCTGTCACCGTCGTTGGCAGCGTCATCGTCACCCTCGGTCTCACCGACCGACTCTGACTACTCCGCCGACCCTCTGGACCTCATCGGCTCACAGACCCCGACTCGCCTTGGCCCACCGGACGTGCACCGCCCAGACTTCAGCACGTACCGTGAGCCCGCATCGGCTGAGGAGTCGCCCGACGAACTCGACATCATTGGGCGTCACTCGCGCGATGAATCGCCGGATGAAATCGATTTCCTCACCCAACACCACCGCGCCTTCATCGCCACAGACGACGACGACCCCACCCTCGACGCCATCGAGCCCGTCAAATCGATCACTAGCGACCCCCAGACCTGGCGCGAAGCAATGTCCAGCGACGAGCACAACATCTGGGCTGAGGCCGCCGCCGCCGAGTTCACCGCCATGCGCGACGACTTCAAGGTGTTCACCATCGAGCCTCGCTCATCTGTACCGCCGGGCGCCACCATCGTCACCTCCAAATTCGTCTGGAAGACCAAGCGCAACGCAAGCGGTGAAGTCACGGGGCGGAAGGCACGTCTTGTAGCGCAGGGTAACCGACAGCGCGACGGCATCGACTTCTCAGAAACCTTCGCACCCGTCGCCCGTTTCTCCTCCATTCGCTGCCTCCTGGCTCTTGCCGCTGCCAATGGCTACCACGTTCATCAGGCCGACATCGACAAGGCTTACCTCCACGGCGAGCTCGATCATGATATCTGGATGACGACACCACGCGGTTTCGACTTCCCGAGCGATAAGGTTCTCCGGCTGCGACGCTCAATCTACGGTCTCAAGCAGGCCGGTCGCATCTGGAATCGTCACATTGACACATCACTCAGGAATCTGGGGTACAAGGCAACAGGCACTGATCACTGCATTTACTCTCGCATTGACGATCAGCAGCGGCCTCACTATATCGCCTTGTATGTCGACGACCTCCTCATTGTCAGTCCAGCCCTCGACGAGATCGAACGTGTCATCTCCGGCCTTGAACAGCGGTACGGCGTCAAACGACTCGGCCCCGCGGAGTACATCCTCGGAATCCAAATACGCCGCCTGGACGACGGTTCCATTGCTCTATCCCAGGAGCGCTACATCATGGACGTGCTGGCCCGTTTCCACTTCGACACCACGACACGCGGCACTACGGTGCCGATGACGCCCGGCCTCTCGCTCACGGCAATTCCGGGTCAGGGAACGGAGCGCATTCGTTCGTGGTACCTACAGGCCATCGGCTCCCTCCTCTACATCTCCCTTGGCACTCGACCCGACATTGCCTTCGCCGTCTCGTACCTGTCCCGGTTCGCCAACAACCCCGGCCGCCGCCATTGGATTGCCGTCAAACACGTCCTTCGCTACCTTCGCGCCACGTACCGCGATGAGCTTCTCTATGCCCGCGGCCCAGCAAAAGTCACGGGTGTGGTTGGTTATTCTGATGCGAACTGGGGCGCCTGCGTCGACACATCCATTTCAACGATGGGCTACGTATTTTACTTGGCAGGCGCCGCTGTCTCTTGGTCGTCGAAGCGTCAGACTCGGGTAGCGGATTCCACCACTGATGCCGAGTACCTGGCCTTGTCGCACGCGGGTAAGGAAGCGATCTACCTTAACCAACTCCTCTCCGAGCTCCACGTTTGCCCAATCGCTGCAGCTCACATCTTCACCGACAACGAGGCCGCGGCCGCCGTCGCTCACGACCCCGTTCGCACCTCCGGCACCCGGCACATTCGCCTCCGCGAGCATTTTGTCCGTGACATGGTCAATCGAGGTGATATCTCTCTCTCACACGTTGGCACAGCAGACATGGTTGCGGACGTATTCACCAAAGCGCTAGGCCCCAAGATTTTTGGTACACATTGCTATGCTCTAGGCCTCCGGACGCGACATCCACGGCTCAAGTCTACCTCGCGTTCGCGTGGGGGGGGTGTGAGGAATCCACTCTCCGCTCGGCTCAGGACTTAGGCGCGCGGAGCGAACCGGGCGCGGACTTAGGCGCGCGGAGTGAGCCGGGCGCCCCGGCCCAGGACTTAGGCGCGCGAAGCGAGCCTGGGACTTAGGCGCGCGGAGCGAGCCTGGGCCATTGGCTCAGCCCCAGGCTCGCTGGCTGTGGACTTGGGGCGCGCGGGTCTCTTATTGTTAGCTTCCTATTCATCACTCTTGGCTATAACTACATCGCTGACGTAGTAGAGTTGATCGAATAGGTATGTTGAAATGCATTCATCACTCTTGGCTATAACTACATCGCTGACGTAGTAGAGTTGATCGAATAAGTGGCGCCCAATGATGTCGAGTTCGTCGGGCGACTCCTCAGCCGATGCGGGCTCACGGTACGTGCTGAAGTCTGGGCGGTGCACGTCCGGTGGCCGAGGCGAGTCGGGGTCTGTGAGCCGATGAGGTCCAGAGGGTCGGCGGAGTAGTCAGAGTCGGTCGGTAAGGCCGAGGGTGACGATGACGCAGCCAACGACGGTGACAGCGCAGGCGACGGTGACAAGGGAGTTGCGGGCGACGGTGACGAGGACGGCTCAGGAGACGGTGACGAGGACGATTCGGCATCTGTGGAATTAAGTAAGGTTCCGCCAGTGTACCCTGGGGCCACGTCAACGGCGCTCATGGCAGAGTCATCAAGAGAGGATGAGACGTCCATGTGCGCCGACCTTACTAGTGGGGTCCATGTCTTGACAACGGCTTGGGATTCGGTGGTCGGGCAAGCGCTGGCGAAGTGCGTGTCGGCGTCTTGCTCGGTGGAGTCGCTACGTAACCCGGGAAATTCGTTGTCGAGGAACCTGGCATTTCTGCCCAAACTGATCTTCTTGGTCGTCATGTCGTAGAAACGGAAGGCTTTAGAAGCCAGGTCATAGCCGGTGAAGAGAACGCGAACCGCTTTCGGGTCGAGTTTCGAGCGAAGTTCAGGCGCGACTGTGAGCCAAGCCGTGCAGCCGAACGGGTGAAGCGCCGAGGCGTTGGTGCGGTCGCCCTGCCAGGCGAAGTTCGGTGTTGCCTTGTCCAGGGCCGAGTGTTCGCACAGGTTCTTGCAGTAGACGAAATAAGCTGCTGCCTCCTCCCAGAATGATTTGGGTAAGTGGGCGTCTGCAAGGAGGGCAAGGACACCTTCGACGATAGAACGATTGACTCGTTCGGCACGACCGTTCTGTTGAGGCGTTCGAGGGATAGAGTATTGTCGACGTGTGCCGCGTGCCTTACAGAATTCCGTGAACGCTCTCGAACAGTATTCGCCACCATTGTCGGTTCGGAGGACCTTCAGTTTTGCACCCGTCTCGAGTTCGATCTCGGCAAGCCATGTCTTGAACACGCCAAAGACTTCGCTTTTGTGTCCGATCGCGTATGCCCACAGTTTGCGCGAGAAGTCGTCAAGAAACGTGACCAGGTAACGCTTGCCAGTCAAGGACGACTCGGGAAAGGAAAGCACATCGCTGTGTACGAGGCCTATGAATACCACTGCACCAAAAGGCGAGGCACCTCTACTTCAGTGAGCGCATATTGTCCTAGAAGTGAGATGGAGCGAAGTTCAACACCCCGTGCGCGAAGCTGAAGAGCTTGTGGCAGTGGTGCGGCTGTGAGGCAACTGGGCATGTTGATCAGGTCGCTTGGGCAAGTGCAGCTTGGGCACTGTGAGCACTGTCGATGCGCCAGGGTGCTTGGCACGCTGCTGGGCAAGTGCGGGGGCCGGGACGCTGAGTGTATGCGCGCAAAATTGCCTGACCCCAGGGGGATTGAACTCATGACCTGCTGGTTGCTCTGGGCTCATAACCTATTCGATCAACTCTACTACGTCAGCGATGTAGTTATAGCCAAGAGTGATAAATGCATTTCAACATACCTATTCGATCAACTCTACTACGTCAGCGATGTAGTTATAGCCAAGAGTGATGAATAGGAAGCTAACAATAAGAGACCCGCGCGCCCCAAGTCCACAGCCAGCGAGCCTGGGGCTGAGCCAATGGCCCAGGCTCGCTCCGCGCGCCTAAGTCCCAGGCTCGCTTCGCGCGCCTAAGTCCTGGGCCGGGGCGCCCGGCTCACTCCGCGCGCCTAAGTCCGCGCCCGGTTCGCTCCGCGCGCCTAAGTCCTGAGCCGAGCGGAGAGTGGATTCCTCACAAGGCCGAGTCTCTCTGAGGAGTGCGAGTCCGAATCGGGAAAAGGAAGACGATGGCCCTTTGCACTGAGGCAAGCATTGCAGACAAACTTCTCTACCTCTTCGTCGGCCCCGAGACCTTCCAGCAAGGCAACCATCTTCTGTATGGACGACGGTGCGAGATGGCCGAGGCAGCGGTGAAGGGTCAGGAGGGGCACGGAAGACTGTGAGCGAGAGAGGAGAGCGAGATGCTGACATTTGGAATGATCAGCGTCCAGCAAGTAGAGCCCTTCCTCGAGTCTTGCGCCTTCAGCGATAGCATTGCCGTTCTTGTCGATATGGATGCCGTGCTTCGTGAAGGCGACACGGACATCGTCGGTGTCGCAAAGTCGAGAGACCGAGAGGAGGTTGACAGACAGGCCCGGGGTGTGCAGCACGCCGGTAAGCGTGATCGGGTGACCGGAGGCGGCAACAAAGGCGATGTTTCCCGTTCCGACGGCGTTGATGCCCCCTGCAATACCACAATCTTCGTAGTATGAAGGAACAATATACCACTGCACCAAAAGGCGAGGCACCTCTACTTCAGTGAGCGCATATTGTCCTAGAAGTGAGATGGAGCGAAGTTCAACACCCCCTGTGCGCGAAGCTGAAGAGCTTGTGGCAGTGGGCGGCTTGTGAGGCAACTGGGCATGTTGATCAGGTCGCTTGGCAAGTGCAGCTTGGGCACTGTGAGCACTGTCGATGCGCCAGGGTGCTTGGCACGCCGCTGGGCAAGTGCGGGGGCCGGGACGCTGAGTGTATGCGCGCAAAATTGCCTGACCCCAGGGGGGATTGAACTCATGACCTGCTGGTTGCTCTGGCTCATAACCTATGAAGGAACAATATACCACTGCACCAAAAGGCGAGGCACCTCTACTTCAGTGAGCGCATATTGTCCTAGAAGTGAGATGGAGCGAAGTTCAACACGTAGGAGCGATGTGGCGATAGGCCGTGAACAGCGACTTGTCCGAGACCATGTGCGAAGTGGCACCCGAGTCGACGACGAAGGAGTTGTTGCGAAGCTGACGACGATGTGCGAGAAGACCGGTGGAGACATCCGACATGGTGTTGCGCATCAGAGGTGGGCGTTTTCCCGTCCTCAAGGCAGTCGAAAGACCAGTGGTCCTTCTTCTTGCAGGAGCGACACGGGCCTGGCGGTGGATGCTGGGCCCTTGTAGGGCATTGCGACGCGGTGGAAGGGCTGCGACAGGCGAGGCACTTGGTACGGGTAGAACGTATGAGACGTTCACCACTACTGTCAGGAGAGGTTGAGAGTCGAACAGAAGTGATCTATTTCAGCGTACCTATGAGACGTTCACCACTACTGTCAGGAGAGGTTGAGAGTCGAACAGAAGTGATGAGAAGGAAGCTAAGAAACAGAAAGGGGGGGCCACGCTGGGATAGTCCCAGGCGCGTGACAATGTACATCCCTAAGTCAGCCGCGGGTGAAATCGCCGGCGCGCCTAAGTCCCCACCGCAAGGGGGCGGGCTAGCGGGCGCGCGCATGAATCCGCCGGCGCTGGCGCGCTGAGGCAGTCGCGCGCGTCTAAGTCCCCACCGCCGGGGGCGGGCTAGCAAGTGCGCGCAACGACCGAGGCGCCCCTGTCGAGCTGAGAGTGGACTCTTCACACCCCCCCCCACGCGAATGCGAGGCAGACCCAAGCCGCGGGTGTCGAGTGCGAAGGCCGAGGGCGTAGCAGTGCGTTGAGAAGACCTTTGGGCCGAGAGCCTTGGTGAAGATGTCGGCCACCATGTCGCTGGTACCCACATGCGAGAGAGAGATGTCGCCCCGATTCACCATGTCCCGAACGAAGTGCTCACGCAAGCGTATGTGCCGAGTGCCAGAGACGCGGACAGGATCGTGAGCAACTGCAGCAGCGGCTTCGTTGTCAGTAAAGATGTGAGCCGGTGCAACAGGTTGTACATGGAGCTCTTCGAGCAGCTGACTGAGGTAAATCCCTTCCTTGCCAGCATGCGAGAGGGCGAGGTATTCAGCGTCGGTGGTCGAATCGGCAACTCGAGACTGGCGTTTGGACGACCAGGACACGGCCGAGCCAGCGATGTAGAAGACGTAGCCCATGGTGGACACCGATGTGTCGATGCAGGCCCCCAGTTCGCGTCGGAGTAGCCTACCACACCCGTGATGCGAGCCTGGCCGCGAGCATACACGAGTTCGTTGCGATACGTGGCCCGGAGATAGCGTAGGATGTGCTTGACCGCAATCCAATGACGACGACCGGGGTTGTTGGCGAAGCGGGCCAGGTAGGACACGGCGAAGGCGATGTCAGGGCGGGTACCGAGCGAAATGTAGAGGAGCGAGCCGATAGCCTGCAGATACCATGACCTGATCCGTTCGGTGCCTTGACCCGGGATAGCAGTGAGCGAAAGGCCGGGAGTCATCGGAACTGTAGTGCCGCGAGTCGTGGTGTCGAAGTGGAACCGAGCGAGCACGTCCATGATGTACCGTTCCTGGGATAGGGCGATAGAGCCGTCGTCGAACCGCCTGATCTGGATGCCGAGGATATACTCGGCCGGGCCGAGGCGCTTGACTCCGTAGCGTTGGTCCAGGCCTGAGATGACACGTTCGATTTCGGCCAGTTCCGGGCTGATCATCAGGAGGTCGTCGACGTACAGTGCGATGTAGTGTGGACATTGACGATCATCGAGCCAAGAGTATACGCAGTGGTCGGTGCCCGTCGCCGTGTAACCGAGGGCCCGAAGCGAAGCGTCGATGTGTCGATTCCAGATTCGGCCAGCCTGTTTGAGCCCGTAGATGGAGCGTCGCAGGCGAAGCACCTTGTCGCTGGGAAGGTCGAAGCCGCGCGGTGCCGTCATCCAGATGTCGTGGTCAAGGTCGCCATGCAGATATGCTTTGTCGATGTCCGCCTGGTGCACGTGCAAGCCGTTGGCGGCCGCCAGCGCGAGGAG